GAAAGAAAGAAAGAAAGAAAGAAAGAAAGAAAGAAAGAAAGAAAGAATACTTTATTGGCCAAGTGTGACTGGACACACAAGGAATTTGTCTTGGTGTAAATACTCACAGTAAAAAGAAAAGATACATTCGTTAAGAATCAAGAAACATAACGTACAACACTTAATGATAATCATAGGGTACAATCAACAATCAAATCATACTAGGAAACAGTCTATATAAATTGTAAGGATACAAGTGACAAAATTACAGTCATAAGTGGAAGGGGATGGGTGATAAGGAGTGATGAGAAGATTAACAGTAATAGTAGTACAGCCTTTGTAAATAGTTGGAATAGTGTTGAGGGAAATATTTGTTTAGCAGAGTGATGGCTTTCGGGGGGCAAACTGTTCTTGTGTCTAGTTGTTCTAGTGTGCAGTGCTCTATAGTGTTGTTTTGAGGGAAGGAGTTGAAACAGTGTATGTCCGGGATGTGAAGGGTCTGTATACTAATAGTGTTCGGATGTATGAAACCAAAAATTATTCCTTGATAAGTTGGTACCTTCCACAGTATTATGTCCTTCATCCACACTAGACCCAAACTGAGGAAGTCTTTGCAAAGCCCCTGGGAGAAATCCTAGAATGAAGCTGCTTTATTTAGGAGTCTTCTGTTGTTTTCACATAGATAGACCCTTCAAAAAGCTCACTAGTTCATGTAGTAGGAATTACTGTTTCTAGTGTAGCTGAACAAAACCTTACATACAGAATTATTTCCAAACAAAAGCTATTCAGTCGGGCAGTAAATCAAAATATGCATGTTCCAGCCAGAGGTGTATGTTTGGGGAAGAGCAGGAAAAAGCCAAGGACCAGCCCGCTCAATCTTTCCATCTCTTTACTTTTCCTATCTTCCTGTAGCTGTCATTGCCAAACTCCTTGTCTTCAAGGGCATCCTATCCAAACAGCCCATCCACTTCCCTGGTCTTCCCACCACTTCCCTTCCCCGCCTCCCTTTAGTTATCTATGATACCCAGTCATCCTGCTCCCACGAAAATCTTTCCTGAGGGGAGGCACTGGGGAGATTCCAAATAGGGGAGGCAGCCTGCTGCACTTTTTGCCACGTCGGAAGCAAAGAGATTGACACAAACCAGGAACAATCCAAATGTTCCTGATTTTGTTTCTGCTGAGCAACAGCGCACCCAGAATTGTTTGGCAAAATACATTTTCCATTTCGTGCACTTCCCTAAGAGACCTCTTTCAAATTTCTGTTTAAATGACAATGAGTGCAAAAAAATTCATTTCCTTCCAGCCAATTTTGTTATGTAGGGTAATGTGTGTTCTGTATCTGCTGGGTTTTTTTAAAAAATAAAAACCCTCTCCATCTCCATTTCCAAAAGCTTCTTGTGACATTAGGGAAATAAATTTACATTCTGGTGCTTATTGCTGGAATTGGAAGTACGGTATAATTAGCCTTTTATGTTTCTAGAAAAATCCATATTAAAATTATAGTTGCAATGCTGAATGAAGTAAGGTTTCATTTTGCAAGCGATTGACCTAAAAGTGCTGAACCTGGTGAGATTGTGAGTATACAAGCAAACAAAAGGGTGATGGGGTGTTTTAATCCCTGGAATAGATTAATTGATGTCAACTAAATTGAACTAGGCTCAATGGCTAAGACGCTGATCTTGTCAGTCAGAAAGGTCAGTAGATCGGCGGTTTGAATCCCTACCACTGCATAACAGAATGAGCTCCTATTACTTGTCCCAGTTTCTGCCAACCTAGCAATTTGAAAGCATGTAAAAATGCAAGTAGAAAAATAGGTACTACTTTGATGGGAAGGTAACAGTGTTCCGTGCGCCTTCGGCATTTAGTCATGCCAGCCACATGACCATGGAGATGTCTTAGGACAGCTCTTTGGCTTTGTAACGGAGATGAGCACCACCCCCTAGAGCTGGAAACAACTAGCACGTATGTGTAAGAGGACCCTTTACCTTTTAAAGTAGAATAGAACAAAGTTCTTAGTTTTTTTAAGGTGACTCTCCATGACTTGATTCCAAAACTACCACAAAACTGCCTCGAGGAGTGACTTTGTGAAAAATTGGAAGATTCCTAACTTTGGATGATTTTTTACTCAATATTCTGCAAGTTTAGTGCCCTCCAAATGTTTGGCCTTCAATGACCAGCATGGCAATGAGTGGATCATGTGGAATTATGCAAACTGAAGTCCACACACCTGGAGAGCAGCCAGGATGGGGAAGATGTGTGCTGCTTGTTGCCGTGTTGTTGGAAATACAGGATAATAAGGATAATTATTGTCCTTTTCTTTCAAACCTAAGAGCCAGTTAACTCTTGAAGTAAGCTGTGTGTTCTTCAAAGCAAGCATGGCTGCTATATAAAGAGCTAAATAGAACTTCCCTCTCTAACTATTCAGGATTAAGCTCCCTTTTATGATTGTCTGCTATTAAGAATATTATTTCAAACATTTTCTTTGGAAGGCAGCCTTTCCTCTCTTTACAGATGAAAGACTTCCATTATCAAGATCCTGTAAATATATTTTAGATATTAAATGCTTCCTTTGTAGATCTTATAAGTGTTTTTTAGCTTGTGAAGCAAGATTAGCTGTATTTCTTGCTTATCCATAAACAAATATTGCTAATTACTGCTCAAAGGCAGAATAAGAATAAATTAGTGATTTTTTTTTTAAAAAGGACTGATTTTGAATAAAGAACTTTTTCTCAAAAATATTGCCACAAAACGTTGCATTCCAAATTTAATCAACCATTACATTTGCACAACTGAATGGGTTTATTTTCTGATTTGAAACTTTTTAATTTATTGAACTTTATTTAATGGTAGTGCTTGAATCCAGCTATTGTTTTGACTTTAAATACTTTATAAGAGGGAATTGAAACACATACATTCAAATGATTGTTACAAGAAATAGGGTAGCATCTAATTAAAATAATGTTTTAATTGTCAGATTACACTGGCAATGTTTTATGGCTTAATGTGGAATAGATAAAAGCTCTGACAGGCTGGTTTCCAAAATTTCACTTTGCTGAGAACATTTTCTTCACAGAAGTAGAAAACTTGTGGGCCACATGCTGCCAACATTTGGTAAAATATGAGAAAGTTAACATTAAAAAAAAGAACAAAAATGCTTATGATAAAATAAATATGGTTAATATTTCTCCCATTATTCAGAAGACAAAGCCTTTAACTGTCAGACCTGGAAAAATGTGTATATCTGGTTTTGTAGATCAGCCATGTTGCCATTGGGATGATTTAGCATATGTAGTGAATGCCAGACTAGAAGTGGGTTTCTGTGTACTTCTCACTTTCTTGGTGACTGTTATTCTTGCTGTTGCAATGCATGAGACTTGTTCTTTAGAGACACTGTTAGGTAGCTAGGTAAATATACTCAAAGGGAAGCCATTTTGAACTATGGGCAAGAAGCTTCTACTGTTTATTGGTTGCTTCTCTGGCCCACAGTTTTGGAGGCTTTGTGATATAATAATGCAATGCCTTAGTCAACACTCTTCTGCAAAACTGCTGATTTACTATAATTTTGATTTGGAGTTGTGTTGTGTTATGTAGTGCTATAAACTCGATTCTTGTTCACCAGCAAGAGTCACTTTTAGTGATATGGGCAGCTATATAAATTTGATGGATGAATAAAATAAAAGAGAGAGAACTCTGCCAATTCAACGGTTAAATCTTTTGTCTAGGAGATGCATCAAAGGAAGATATTGATGTTGCCATGAAACTTGGGGCAGGTTATCCTATGGGCCCATTTGAACTCTTAGACTATGTCGGCTTAGATACCAGTAAATTCATTATAGATGGTATGTATATCATTCTGTTTGAAAATGTAAAAACAGTCACGCTGGATAAAAAATTACTTGTTTTTGATGTGCGATATTTCACACAGTGCCTTAATACAACAAATGTGATCAGTTTGTCTCTGCTTACTATTCTGATATTTTTTCTACATATAACTGTGGAACCAAAGCAAGGGCCGGAGCCCGGCTTGACTGGCCAATACAACAGAAGATAAAAACATGAGAACCCTATGAATATTTATCCACTTCTTCAATTTTTAAGAGTATTATGAATAACCTGAGATTTGTTATGTGTAAAATTCCCAGAAAAAAAGATTAATAATCCAATTCCTTTGTGATCACTTTGTTATTTTGACCTGCCAAGTTGTCTATCGGATTAAGTTAACTACCTTAATGTTAACTTAACTGGAAAATAGTCTTCTTTAAAAGGGTTGCAATATTTGAACTGAAATTCTCTTGTTGCTTTGCGTACAAGTATGGCAGCCAGCTTTATCACTTTATTAAAAAATGTAATTAGTTTTGAATGAGAAGGTTTGAAAAATATATAAATATCTGTGACACGTTATCAGATTGAGGTGTTAATGCCTGTATGTTTTTCCCTCTCTCTAATCAGGATGGCATTCATTGGAACCGGAAAATCCTCTTTTTGCTCCAAGCCAGGTTCTAAATCAGTTGGTAGAGGAGAAGAAACTTGGAAAGAAGACTGGTGAAGGATTTTACAAATACAAATGAACTTTCCAATGTGCCATGTTTTTCTGACACGCGTAAGGAAAGCTGCTGAGCATTTCCATACAGTATTTGTAATACTGCTTAATCAGGGCCACAAAAACCAGTCAGTGCTGTATCTTGATTATAAACGCTAAGCAATTTATTTCCACAATGTAGCCTTATGGTATTTTAAATCACTGGGATTTATTCGGAGCTTTACACATTGAAGTGCCTTTTTCGAAATTACCATGGATCTAAACACATCTCAGATTTATAATCCTCCATCCAACCAGTAGAAATTTTAATATGAATAAAATACTTCAAATATAGAGTTGCTTTGATTTCCCCCCCCACCCACCCCCACCAGTAGGTGGCAGTGTAAAAGCAGAATATGAATTTAACATTTTCCTTTTCAGCACTTTATTCAGTAATAAATTATATTCCTTTAGTATATAGCTAGATTCAGCACATATACCATTTATTCTTTTTTTTCTTTTTATGCCTTTGTATATCAATCAATCTGCATGTCCGTGTCTGCATCATAGAACACAAGTTTGCTACAGAATATGAACAGCAAGAAGGCAGGAGGGACTTTTTTTTAAAAACAGGAGAAAAGATAACTTCCACGTTAAACAAATATAAATAGACCACCTTAAAATGTAATACTAAATGGTAACTTGCAGGAACTGTTTTGACACTGAAAAATCAATACAATGCAGTGGTTAAGTCAATGAACAAGCAACAGGAAATAACAGGTTGTATCTATCTGCAGCCGTGGAAAATCACTCAAAGTATTTTGGGGTGAGTGGAAAGCTAAAATGGAAAGCTAGTTTTGCCAGTTGTAGAGAAAAATGCAGTTTATAAATCTAATTAACAATGTTCTGTAATAGGACAGAACAATAGCATTGCCCTTAATGGTTGAGAACCTCCCTTCAGTTCTGGTGTGCCCGTCAGAATCCTTGGAATATCTTAATGAGGATTTAAATTTGAAAAAAATCTTGACTTAAATAAAAAGCAAGACATGATGCTAAATGCTAAGTACTAAATTTGTATGATTCTCTTAGTATTGTTGGGATTTTGTTAAGTAGCAATCTCATTTATTGAAGCAAAATATTATTAGCTGCTTAGATCTTAGGGTGAAATGCATTCAAAATAGTACTGGTTGGAACTTAGAACATTGCCCGACTTATTTCTCTTGATCCTTTCTTGTGTGTGTAGAATGGCAGACAGGAAAGCACTGAGGATGTTCAGGACACTGCAAGGAGTACAATGCCATAAAGGGAAATTGTTCAGAGCAGTGGTCCTCAACCTTTCTGGCTCCATGGACCAGCAGAAGTGGTGTGGGTAGCAGGGAAGAGAAAGTTTTGTGCTCGCAACCTAGCTCCCTTGCATGTGCAAATGAAATTTTACACACTTGCATGGTCCAGTTCCCAACAGGCTATGGACAGGTACTAGTCTGCGGCCGAGGGATTGGGCACCCCTGGTTTAGAATGGGGCTCTACTGTTGGGTATAGTTGAAGACCAGATATATCCCATGCAATGTTCTTTTCGAAGGTCAAGAGTGTGTATTGCTCAACTACCTGGAAGTTGCTCATATTAAAGAAATGATAAATCAAGATTAAATCTATTGCTAGAGTTGTCAGGTTAAGTCACAACCTGCAGTCCTCAGTACTGTGCACAGATGTTCAACAACAAAAAAGGAAAAAATTGAATAAATTTGAATATGTTTTCAATAAAATTGAAAATGTTTTGCTGCTAATCCAAGAAACTCCTTCAGTTCCAAATAAGCTTCTTGAATGAGAAGTGAAATATTTCCAAAGAAGAAACCAAGAACGTCCAGATGCCTTTTGGAAAAGCACCTTTGGGACAACTATGATTGAGAATCTCCATAGATCTAAGGATAAGAAATGCTGCTCTATAATCTCCCAGAAGGCCCCTGAAAAAAATAGCTAATATGTAAATGCTTGGTGATTTGCAAGAGAAACTAGAAGTCTGGTTAACTTATTTAAAAGTGGAAGTTACCTAATGACACAGAACTGGCCAGCATATAACAGAACTTATAAGTTGGATCAATTTTAAAAATCAAGGACATAAAGACAGACCATATCTGGTAGAATGTTCACAGTCTTTCCATGAGTGAAAAAGAATGTAGTCTTCGGTTACTCAGTTACCACGGGCCTTTTAAGTATTATTAACTGGGCTTCCGGTTTGAGCTTCTTCAGCGACAGACCGAAACCTTGTCTCTGCGGGGCTTCGATCTGTGCTCGCCGCTGGAGCACCCTGAGCCAGCTGGTTTTGGGGCTAAGCGACCCCGTAGAGGTGGTGAAGAGGGGGGAGACTCTGCAGGGTTGAGGAGAACCGCATCTCTCCTCCCCAGCTGGCCATTACTCCCTTTTCTAAAGGCGGTTGCAGCGGTGGTCAGAAATGGCCACCACAAAGAACTCGACCGGAAAAGAATGTGTAGGAGGAAGATAAGGAAAGAAAGTTTTGGTTGACCGGATCAGACAGCAAAAGCAACAAATAAGGTACCTTGGAATTGAAACTATTAAAAAACAATAACATTGTCCCCTAAGAAGATTTTTAAGCTGCGAAGGAGAGAGAAAAGGGAAAAGATTTGGTTTTCTCCTTTTCCTATACTGACAGCTAAGAGACTTAAGCAAAAAATTGGGAAAAAATCCACTTTGACATCAATAGGCATTTAATGCTGAAAATAAAAAGTCAAAGGGATAATAAAGATTTCTAGATAATTAAAAGCTTTTGAAAACAGGAAAGGAGAGAAAAAGAATAAAAGGGCAAGATCTGGAAGGGAGGAGACTGCCTGGAATTAAAAAAAAAAAAGAATTATTAAGTGTAGTGTCCGAGTTGTTTTGCTCTAAATCTTCCACCATTTTTTCCTTAGTTGTATCTATTTCTCATATAAGCAGACATGGGGGCTCCTTTCAGTTGAGGAACAGGATAATTTTCATCTATAAAAGCTTTGGATTTTGTTTTGTTTTTCCTGCTATGTGGATATACATATTTTCAAAGAGTAGACGCACCACCAAATTATCTTCATCTGGTTCCACTGAAGCTGCCACATGAAACAAGGTGAACCAAACTTAACTTTAACCAAGCCCCCAAAATACGTATTTTGTAGTTTTATTACAAAGCTTTATTTTTAAAAAAACATGAAAACAACAAAAATGCTCAGCACATTAACTCAAATTGGAATGACAAAATATATATTGGTTGTCCTTTTTTTTTTTGGCAAAGGCTAGGCCTTAAACTAAAAAAAAAAACTTGGGTACATCAATGTTCATTTCAACAACTGGCATAAAATCCCACTAAACAGGCTAACAGAAACAGATACAAATACAGAACATTCGAAGTAATAATAATCCAAGTGCTGGGCTTTAAAAAAAAACCCAAGGAAATTCAGATATGAGAGGAGTTTTTACTGAAATCAGATCCAATAAGGGATGTTCCTTTTACACATATAAAGAGATGAAGTGGATCACATGTTTCGTGTACATATACAATGATTTCATCTGTTACAAATAGTTAATTCAAAACAAAAAGACTTTATCCTCCAAATGCTTTGTTCTTCTCCAACAGGAAAAAGAAATCTACTATTATTTAAAAACCTTTTATTTATTAGAAAAAAGAAAATGTCAGGGCGGGGATATTTCAATGCTTCTTTAAAAACCTCAAAAGTCAATAAAAATGTACACCAAGGCAATAACTAAAATATAGAAGCATTCAAGTTTATATTTTTAGAATCTGAAAACCAAGATTCATCCTCTTGCACCATTAAATAAACCGGATAATGTCTTCCTCAAGAAATTATGTTTTGGTTCCTTCGATATGAACGGCCAAGATGAAAGCCAACACTGCTGCTGCTGCTTTCTAGCATTCTTTTGACTAAAGCAAAATGAATACAGCTGAACTATTTTGTTGCTGACTCAGCACTGACAACATAGAAGATACAAATGGAGGTGTGTAAGGCGGAGTGGAGATAAAAAGGGAAGATCTGAAATGCTACTCTTGGCTCTTCTTTTTTGAGTTGGGCTCGGAATTCTGTGAGGGTGAAGGGACGTGGCAGTGATTGTCTTTATGGTTCAATGTCTTTAGCAGGGACACCAGGATAAAACTTGACACCCTTAGACATACTCCTTATATGCCTGTTTACATGAAGGACATCTATGGAGATTTTAACAAGCTTCCATTTCAAGAAGAGGCCCTGATGTCGCTGCCTTCATCTTGCAGGTTGAGAACGTGTGTCGCTTCCCACCTGCAGAGAACAAATACAGTAAACATTTTTTAGAATTGTACATCAAGGTACTTTACTATGTATTATTCCTCGGTATAATTATCACCATCAATTACTATGGAGGTGATACCTTAGACCAGGGTCCCCAACCTCTGGCCTGCAGCCTGATATCAGTCCGCAACCCATTGGGAACTGGGCCACACAAGGAACAGATGAGCACACGAAGCTCCATTTGCACAGGAGGTGGGCACGCACACAAAACCATCCTCTCCCTGCTACCTGCACCACTGCTGCCAATCCGCAGAGCAGGAAAGGATAAGGACCACTACCTTAAACCAGGGGTCACCAACCTTTCAGACCTCAGGGACCACTAAATTCATAATTTTAAATCCCATGGACCACTAATATCTGCCTAATGACCAGCTGGGTGGGCGTGGCTAGGTGGTCATGTGACTAGGTGGTCGTGACCAACTCAATGTCACATCAAGGGGTGCCTCGCTGACCTCTACATAGGCTTTCAAGCAGAGGGAAGATCTGCGGGAGTGCAAGGCCAGGTACCAGCACCTGGAGGCTCAGTGGGCTGAGATGGTCAGCCAGTTCCTGGCCATGATGCAATACCACTGGAACAAGGCTCTCCAGCTCTTTGCCACCACCGGCACTTCCCTCCAGCCTTTGCCCAAAGCCCTGCACCGGGAGACTGAAGCAGACCCTAAGTCAGAATTTCTGACCCCCACAAAAAGACCCCAAAGGTGGAGACTCTGCAGCAACACAAATGTTCACTGTATGTATCTGGCCCAGGGTGCATAGTTTGAGGATCCCTGATTTAGTGCAATAGAAAAAATGCAAATAATGTTTCTGTGAACCACCAAAATAGTTCATGGACCAGTGGTGACCACTGCCTTAAACCTAAATATTATCATGCCGGCTTAGAAATTCGAAGAGTTGAAATCCATGCATCTGAAGGGAATCCAACATGAGGAAGGCTGGGAAAGAGCAACCTCATTCCTTTCTTACATTTTGGGCTGCAACTGTCAGCTTGCCTGACCATTGGTTACATTGGCCAGGCAGTTACTCTGCTTTATACAAAAGATGAGAAAGCTGCATCCAGATACTGTCCAATGACAACTTCCTCTATATGGAACAAATCAGAATTCAATCTGATATACAAAGATCTAAACAAAAGTGTTAGGAACTCTAGATCCCAAAGCAAATATACATTGTATATAATGCTTAACGTTAACAATATACAGATGTTTAACAATAGAAGACAATGTTGGTTCAAAAGTAAACCTCTATAAACTTTATGAACAAATATCACACTCTACTGAATTCTAAATAAATGTAATCTTTAAAAGAAAAACTCATAACATAGTCCCTCCTAAGAAATAATAATGATGTAAATTCTAGTTCGTGATCCAAATGCAGATCACCAGAATCCCTGAATTTGGACACATTTGCTAGGAAAACATTTCAAATCACTGAACAGTTAGAAGGGATAATTTTTGGCTATCAAATGCAACTATCTACCCAATGCAGGAATCCGAATTAAAACATTTATGATGGATGATATTCCCAATGAAAGGCTCCAATGATATATCAAGGTACTATCATGCTTTTGCCAGAATGGATAGCCAGATGTTTTTACATAAATAGGATTATAAGTAATTTAGTTACATAAAAGCTAGAGTACTTAGCCAAGTAATTTAGATACTGTCACTTAGCTGATCTTTCAAATTTGTGTCCAAACCTAACACTTTAGTTTTAGGATATCATATATTACAGAGTTAAC